AGCCGCCGCGCCCGGGCCTGGTGGACGCGGAGGGCGGGGACACAGCCGCGCGCTCGTTCGTTTACTGCAGCCGTCTGCTCGGGAAGAAGGCGGGCTGCCGGAGCGGGGCCTCGTTTCCCCGCGGGAAGCTTAACGGGGAGCGCCTCGTCTCAGCCGTCTGCAGGCGGAGCTGGAAGTCGGGGGTCGATGGTGTCGTGGGGTCGCTCAGAAGCGCACTGAGTGACGCGGAAGCGCCGTCGGGCTCTTCGCGCAAAACCAGTCCGTGGGCAGATGAGCTTGACAGTGACGGCCCGTTATGGACATTTGCCATTAGTAGAACGAGCGTGTCTGCGGGTCCCAAGTTTTGACACAAATCTATTTACAGCGTAGGCGTATTACGCGGCCGCTATTAGTCCCTTTGCAACTACTTAACCCTATAAACGATTTTAGGCGTCAGCTTAGCGGTGCGTGAGGGGGCGCAGAGTTTTTACATTGTTTCCGAGGATACACAGGCAAAAAGTTCGAATGCCAGTGCCCTGTGGCCGTAGACTGTTCCAGTCCAAAGAGGCTCGGTCCCTGCGGGCCTTCTCCGCGGGACACAGGCTCACGGCCCCTCCCGCCAGCGGCCGGCCAGTTCCGGAGTCTGCAGATCTCGCCTCCTTAGGTCTGGGGACTGGCTGCTCTTGCTCCTTCCCGCCTGTCTCCCAGGTCGAGGCCATCCTCTCTGCCCCTTGGATTGCCCCTCCCAGGAGTCCTGTCGGCTCCTTCCTGAAACCCATGCCGCAGGCAGGGTGGCCCCTCCTAGTCCCCGGCCTCCTCTTCACGCCCTTTGGAGACCCGCCCCCCACCCCCGCCTTGCCTATACAAAGTGAGCACAGCTAAGAGCCTCGCGGCTCCTTCCCTGGCGACCTGTTTGAGGCGCTCTGGATTTCCAGGGTCTGCTGCCTCTGGGCTCACGGGACCTGGGCCCTGGCCCTTCCCCTCGCTCCCTCCTCGGAGCAGGGAGAACTTCCCTAAACAAAGCGGGACGCAGTGTGTCACCTTTGTGCTCGTGTGGTACCTTTCAGTGTGCCTTTGAGGCTTTGGGAACACTCGTGTGTCATCAGTGCCTGAGAGAGGCACGATTCACCGCAGACGGGAGCTTCACAAGAGCTCAGGCATCAGGCACATAGCGAGAGTCCCACGGACACGTCTGAGTGCGGGAGAGTAGGTGGGTGACGCTGGGACCTGACCCAGGAGCGGCTTCAGCAGACGTGGGCGGAGGGGGGCCTTCAGTGAGGAGGGCGACGGCCAGTCTTGGGGACTCGCAGTTTGTGGAGCCCCAGGAGAGAAAGTGGAGAATGCCACTCAGATGTGCACCCTGATTGATGGTGCTCATGGTGGTGCCACCAACTGAGAAGGAAGCATCATGAGCGGAAGGCGAGAGAGAGGGTGCTTCGGCGTGGCCCTGTGGACTGTGAGGTGCCTCGAGCTCAAGGGGAAAGTGAGGGCTGGAAGCGAAGAGTTCGTGGTGACACTGCCAGAGGCGATACACGTGTTCAGAGAAAAGTCCATTGGGAGGAGGGAGGACGAAGGCCGGAATCCAGAAGGACGGCAGCATGTGGCCGCTAGCCAAAGAAGTTGCCCGTTAAGGCAACGGGGAAGAAACAGCCGGAGAGGTTTGGCGAGGACCAGGGGTTCATCGGGCTGTCCCGGAATTGGGGGGCAGGGAGTTTCTAGAGGATGTGCCTGGCACTGTCAGATGCAGCAGGGAGGCCCAGTACGAACTCACCAAAGCTGTCCATCTGGCAGTTACTGCTGACAGCAGGTTCGCTTTGATTTGCCCAGGCACGGCGCTGCTCCTTGAATTGGACTCTGCCCTTCAGACGTGGCTGGCCAAGGATTTGATACACACATGTCGGTTTGGGATTTGACCTTTTTCTTTTTCTTTTTCCAGTCTAAGTAAAAATTCCTATGTAGATATCCACACACATGTATCTGTGTAACATGATGTATGTGTGCATAGCCGTATCTGTACATGCTTTAAGGATTTTTTTGCAGGACCGAGCTGTTAGGATCAGCTGTCTGATTGGAAGCAGAAGTGCTGAATGAAGAGTCTTTTTTCCAATCGATGTTTGTGGTTTCCTGTTAAAACACACTTGCAAAATTTTGGGTTTTGCTCTTGACTTTAAAATCCTCTTGGCATTGACTCTGACATGCTTGCTTTCTGCTGGAGCCAGAGGAACATCTGTGTATGACAGACGATTTCT